ATACAACCTCTGATAACATTCCGTTATGTTATCTGTCTGACCATGCTGAGGAATGTAATAAGGGTGGACACCATACATAGTTCAAGATAAGTCATATGATAGTTGAGTGGTCCAGATCATGCCGACACCAATCGACCACTGTTGGTACAATAAACAGAGACACTTGTCCTACAAGCAGTTCATTTAAGATCCTTCAACGATTGGATAAGAAAAACTAGAGAGGAGGTTAATGCCTTTGAGTTGCCAGTCTTGTTTAGCCCAAGAAGTTTTAGATAATACGCGTTTCAGATTTATAATGCTGTTACCAATTGAAATATTTATGTTAGCACAACAAATTTATTGAAACGACGTTTATAATAAAACGTTTTCCGATTTATTTAATGTGTTCTCAAACTCCAGAATAGAGTGATAAAGAATTAATATATGTTTCTACGTAATAAAATAACCATTTAAAAGGTAACTCGCGAGGGATCTATTGAACTGAGCTATTGAAAGGTGGCCATCTTGAATACTGGAATATAAAAGCCCCTTTAAGTGTAGGTGTACACATTATTAAGGTATTATCATTTGCTGAAGAAGAATCGAGATATCATTTGCACATCAATGGACTTGATATTTGTATTTATAATGTTATATATTATTTTGTTGTATCTAGCCAGGTCAACAAGGACGAAGACCATCACCGGCGAACAAACGGCAAATGAGGTGTGTCGTGGATGGGGAGGGGTTTATAAATTCGGCAGATGTCTTCGAACAAGGTAATGATTTGCAATTGATCATGATATAGGATCAAATACAAGGGCTTGTTCCGGTTGGATCGTTCCAAAAATCATTTTCAAATATTTTGGATGTAATATTTAGGGCATTCTCATTAACACCCTTTAAACATTTATCAGGTTTTCAGGATGTCCGTTCTCATGTGTATTTAAAAACGGTTTACACCCGACATCAGTAAGATTTATTGATATAAATTTTAATTTTATCAAGAAAGCTATGAAGTACAGAACAGCAGGTTGTTGGTGGAATATTGATAACGCACAATTAGAGAACTATGCTCCACCCAACTCACGATATGTTATCTAAATGTACCAACGTTCCGATGAAAAGGAAACCGGGCCCTGGAATTTTATGACGGATAGACCATACAGACAGTTTGTATTGCAAAATGATTTGCAGATTTTCATATACCAATAAATTATTCCATGGGCCATTTCTATGCGTCGCTTCCCAATAAATCTGAGATCTTATTTCCTTTTCTGCTCGACAGAGATAAACAGGGGCTATAAATAATGTAAAACATGTTCTCCGTTGATATATATTGGAAGTATTTATAATGTAAGTAATCGCTAAATTATTATTTACAAGACAAGGTAAATATTTTATGAAGTGAAAAACTAGCCAATATAAATCGTGGTAAAAGAAAATTTACAGTAGCTCAGCAGTTGATGAGTTTTTGATGTATGATTTTGAACTCTGTAGTATAATGATTATTCAAACTGTCAAAATAAACTAAATTTTTTGTCCGAACGTATAGAACAGTTTGTTAAGTTCAATTACTAGCCTTGTGAAAATATCAATAACATCTCTAAATGAAAGAAGAAGCCTATTAGTAGAAAATCTCATTCTCCAATTCGCTGTAATATGAACTGAAATCAGACCTATTCATGATATAAAATGTTATATGATACACACATACTATGCTAGTCTGATATGAAAACATAGTGCCTTCAGATCTGCATAAGATTACACGGTCCTATCCCGGGAAATAGTATTGAGAAAAGCTAAGAAATTCAAGTCATAATCTTACACAGTCCACATCAGAGAGTCATTACTGCTGTATTTTGTGCATGTTTCCCTTTATCTATAGATCTTTTGAAAGGTATACAATGTATATTTTTATGACGTATTTCTGGTGCTTCTTTGTGGTCTGAATGAGATCTGTATAGAGATTTTGATGGATATGTATATGAATTCCTCTTGTGAAGTGAATGAATACTTTTAGCTGGTCCTTGAGCCCTTCAAGATACATGAATACAGAAAAATACTGGACATCCAAGTTAAGTTTATCACGAGTGACGTGACAATAGTAGAAATATCTTAAAATTTTTCCGGTGCATTCCACTTCTCTTCATCACTTTCCTGTCATCTCGGAAGAAGACACACACTCGACACTTGTGTCGCACGGTTATAAACATATACAACGGGATTATTCTGTAATATATTATTCTACGTTATATACCCAAAATGCAGGATATATTATCAATACATATCGACATTCTCACCTTTCCGGTATACCTCATGTAACTTTGCTATTGGCATAGTTTACTCGGAACATCTGTCATCATAACTTTTTATGTCGTCTAAATATATTTCTTATATTACTTATGTCGGTTTTCTCCTAGTCTTTGAATGCATGACATTGAATGCAGGACTGGATATTCCACTGTATATTCTGATCTGTCGAGAGAATTTATAATAGATATATAATGAATTCCATTCAGTTCAACCATCGTCTAGGGTTCACTGTGATTAGAATCATACCGTTGACTTAAACCAATTGTCTATTTATTTAATGTCTGACCTTTCTATCATAATGGTAACGTATCTCTATATATATATATACTCGTGTTAAAGGGGTACAGATTCTAAAAGCTGAAAGAATTCAGTATTAGCTAACTAAAGATAAAGCATATGTTGCCATCTTGTTTTTTTAAGATTTGGTACCCCCTCGCCCAACCATAAGCAAAATTGTAGGGCAAAGACTATGACCAAGTCGTGAATTGTTAATACATAATCCACCGCTGATATCGTGAACGCTACCAATTAAAATTTTCGAAGGGTACCCCATTTGGTGTTAGGGGTACTAGTACCTTATGTTGGGATGCAGGGATTAATGGTGTGTTCGAATTCCCCAATACATCACAAAATTCCTACATCATTCCTATTTATGGAAAACTCCAAGGAAATGATCGATCTCAAATGTCCATTTTACCCTTCAACTGACACTACAGCCTATGCTGTAATTTTATAAATTCTTAGAAATGTTAGATAGCAAATTAACCATAATACAATACGTGGATAAGCATCAAATTAATCATATTACAGCTCTTGGTTAGCCCGCAAATTAGCCGATGTTCGATTCTCGGTTAACCACCAAATTAGTCGTTACGTATAACAGGTGCTGTTATTAAGTTACCAACTCGTACTAGAAATTTTTGTATATTTGTGCATTTGAAGTGATGTAGTAGTCATATTCTAGAACCAGTTATTGTGGTAACAATTATAGCAAAGACAGTGTATACTTTGTGCACTGTTGACAAACAAAGTTTTTCTCTCCATATGAGACACATGAGCGTCAAATTCGACTAATTCCATCGTTGCTCACAGATGGCATCATTATGGTCTATGTACCCACTCCCTTTAAACCCACAAAATTGGCATTTCTGCGTAGCTTTGTGTTGCAATTTCTTCTTCCGAAAAGAATAGTGGTACGACCTGTAACATCTCGAATTGACATGTTGGTTCTCACCGTCTAGTGAGAAAAAAAATGATGTGTACGCATTTCATCATCGGAATCAGGGAGTAACATATCAAAACATATGTTTACTAGATTCTTATCAACTAAACTGACAGACACCAGACCCAGACAGTGGCTGTATCCTCCCTAGAAGATACACTCTCAAATATTTAAATTATTTTAATATCTTGTAGCAGACACTGTTTAGATCAGACAAACATGTGGTATACAGACAGAGTTTCAACTGTTAAATCATTTAGATACATGGTATACACATATAGATACACGTTAATTCAGTACACATATAAATCTTGATCATATCAGATTTTAGAAGTTCACATTCACATGTGTTCCAAAACACACAGATTCACGTATCGTGCATAATATACATTGATTTTGTGCGCTTTTTATAAAAAATCTAAGCAAACAGACCATGCAAACGACAGTGTGTAAGAGGGCCTTTAGTTGACCATACATGTATGTCAATGAGACTTGTTAATAGGAAATGGATTATGTGACAACATGCACACGTCGTGATAATCAGTGTAAACTTCTTAAAAATGGAATAACAATAATTAAATTGCATTGAATTTTGACACGGCATGACACGTGCTGTGTCGGTCGAATATTGCGTTACAAGCATCAGGTCATCGTATATTTAAATGGAATCTTCTGATTAATCGGCAAATTTTAACAAAGCAAAATTAAGTATAGTATGAGTGCCAGACACCAATGCATTGGCTCGTGAAATTTAAGTCCGCTCAATTTTCCAATCTACTAGCATCTCGTTTGGTTTAAAAGGACAATTCAAAATGTTGAATATTGCCCCAAAAAGGACTATCCAATCCACCATTGATTTATTAGTGTTGTATTGTTACCTAAATTTAATATATAAAAGTCAAAAAGTTGCACAACTTTCAATTACTGAGAATTAATTAGGTTAATGAGATTTAACTCGAATGAATTAGCATCTAATTAGTATTTATCATAACATTTTAATATTCATAAACATTAGATAATACATTTCATTGCCTGAAACTACAGAAAGCATAGATCGTAGCAATGCAATTTTCTTTCAATCCACAGCAATAATAAGAGGATTTTGCATGATATGAGCGAACAGAACCTCCCCCGTTTGTAACTTGAGGATCTGCATGATAAGAGGGAACAGAACCTCCTCCGCTTGTAACTTGAGGATCTTGTAACTTGAGGATCTGCATCATGAGAGGGAACAGAACCTCATCTGCTTGTAACTTGAGGATCTCTTAACTTGAGGATCTTGTAACTTGAGGATCTTTTAACTTGAGGATCTTGTAACTTGAGGATCTTGTAACTTGAGGATCTGCATCATGAGAGGGAACAGAACCTCCTCCGCTTGTAACTTGTGGCTCTTGTAACTTGAGGATCTGCATCATGAGAGGGAACCGAACCTCCTCCGCTTGTAACTTGAGGATTTTGCATGATATGAGCGAACAGAACCTCTTCCGTTTGTAACTTGAGGATCTGCATGATAAGAGGAAACAGAACCTCCTCCACTTGTAACTTGAGGATCTGCATGATAAGAGGGAACAGAACCTCCCCCGTTTGTAACTTGAGAATCTGCATTTTAAGAGGGAACAGAACCTCCCCCGTTTGTAACTTGAGAATCTGCATGATAAGAGGGAACAGAACCTCCTCCGCTTGTAACTTGAAGATGTTTTAACTTGAGGATCTTGTAACTTGAGGATCTTGTAACTTGAGGATCTTGTAACTTGAGGATCTTGTAACTTGAGGATCTTGTAACTTGAGGATCTTTTAACTTGAGGATGTTGTAACTTGAGGATCTTGTAACCTGAGGATCGTGTTACTTGAGGATCTGCATCATGAGAGGGAACAGAACCCCCTCCGTTTGTAACTTGAGGATTTGCATGATATGAGGGACCAGAACATCCTCGGCTTGTTACTTGAGGATTTGCATGATATAAGGAACCAAATCATCCTCAGCTTGTAACTTGAGGATCTTGTAACTTGAGGATCTTTTAACTTGAGGATCTTGTAACTTGAGGATTTGCATGATATAAGGAACCAAATCATCCTCAGCTTGTAACTTGAGGATCTTGTAACTTGAGGATCTTGTAACTTGAGGATCTTGTAACTTGAGGATCTTTTAACTTGAGGATCTTGTAACTTGAGGATCTTGTAACCTGAGGATCGTGTAACTTGAGGATCTGCATCATGAGAGGGAACAGAACCCCCTCCGTTTGTAACTTGAGGATTTGCATGATATGAGGGACCAGAACATCCTCGGCTTGTAACTTGAGGATTTGCATGATATAAGGAACCAAAACATCCTCAGCTTGTAACTTGAGGATCTTGTAACTTGAGGATCTTTTAACTTGAGGATCTTGTAATTTGAGGATCTTGTAACCTGAGGATCTTGTAACTTGAGGATCTGCATCATGAGAGGGAACAGAACCTCCTCCGTTTGTAACTTGAGGATCGTGTAACTTGAGGATCTACATCATGAGAGGGAACAGAACCTCCTCCGCTTGTAACTTGAGGATTTTGCATGATATGAGCCAACAGAACCTCCTCCGTTTGTAACTTGAGGATATGCATGATAAGAGGGAACAGAACCTCCTCCACTTGTAACTTGAGGATCTGCATGATAAGAGGGAACAGAACCTCCTCCGTTTGTAACTTGAGAATCTGCATGATAAGAGGGAACAGAACCTCCTCCGTTTGTAACTTGAGGTTCTTGTAACTTGAGGATCTTTTAACTTGAGGATCTTGTAACTTGAGGATCTTGTAACCTGAGGATCGTGTAACTTGAGGATCTGCATTATGAGAGGGAACAGAACCCCCTCCGTCTGTAACTTGAGAATCTGCATGATATGAGGGACCAGAACATCCTCGGCTTGTAACTTGAGGATTTGCATGATATAAGGAACCAAAACATCCTCAGCTTGTAACTTGAGGATCTTGTAACTTGAGGATCTGCATCATGAGAGGGAACAGAACCTCATCCGTTTGTAACTTGAGGATCGTGTAACTTGAGGATCTGCATCATGAGAGGGAACAGAACCTCCTCCGTTTGTAACTTGAGGATTTGCATGATAAGAGGGAACAGAACCTCCTCCGCTTGTAACTTGAGGATTTGCATGATATGAGGGACCAGAACATCCTCAGCTTGTAACTTGAGGCTCCGTTTGTACCTTGAGATGTGCATGATATGGGGGAACAGAACCTCCGATTAAATCTAAAAGGCTTAGCTATTTAATTTGCGATGTTAACTCTTAATAATCAAGAGACCTTAAATATGAAGCCAAGTATTCTCTTTGTCCAATGAGAGGGTTCTTGAACTAGAGTCCCAACTTGAAACCGGAGTTCCCTATCACAGTTAATCTGAACACTACTGGAAGGTTAAACTGAAATTATAGCTAGCAGCTCTTTTTTTTAATCTCATTTAATAACACGCTTACAATTTCCACTGAAATCTTCAATTTCTTATCTATATACGGCGGAGTTGTTTAGGTTATGATTATCTGCCATCTAGAGTAGGTTTTGAAAGAAAAGTCATAATATTTACACCACATTATTAATAATATTTACATCAAATTATAACTATTATTTACAATACATTTCAGTTATACACATTACATTTTTATATTTAATTTTGATGATTCTAAAATCACACAAGAGTTGCAAACCACTACCCTGAAAGTGGTCATCTGCCTTCTCGCAGTAAGTTGATTGATTAAGTAATCATCATGTTAACAAAGAGAGGCCCCTCAGAATATTATTAGTTGACCCTAGCCAGACCTTGACCTGGTGCATTTCCAAGTTCATTTTTCAAGGAGACCTATTTGGTGTGGAATATTTGTAATGACACATACAGCATAAGTTTATCAAGCTGATTACGATTGATTTCATTTAGTATCCCACAGTCTATTATGAACCAACAATAGAGAGATTTTAAGCTTCATATTGGTTCGATAAAAACTCGGGAATTACGTTATCCTCGAGACGAGATTTATTGGTTAGAGTAATTTTTTATGGTAAAATTGAGAAAAAAGGAAATTGGTTTTAAAAGCTTTTCACAAATTGACTGAATATGTCAATAAGGTCTAATTTGGTTGTTCAGTATATTCCTAGATTATAACCAATTAAATATAATTGATAAGGAATTTGGGAAATAAATACAATGGTTTAATTAAGCATGAAAAGTCTGATTAACTGAATGGGGTTATGATTATCAAAGAAAACCAACACAAATTGAAATTCTGAAATATCTATTTGGCGTAATTTGGCCACGGCTTAATATTGGTTACCGACCCAACTTGGGCGATTGGGCAACCATACAATAATATCAGACATTAAGTGTAAATATATAAATTCATTAACACAATACAAGGTTACCGATCCAACTCGGGCGACTGAGCAGTCTAAAAGAAGAAACTTTGTCCATTAAATTAAATCAACTGTAAAATATGCAATTCATTAACACAAAGCAATATCAATAATTCTCAAATATTCTAATTACAATTTAACTGACACTTGAACTTGTTTTAATGATAAAATAATCTATAGATAGTGAATAGGATCCAATGCTCACTCCCAAAATGCAATTACTTTGAAATTCAGATAGATAGATAGATAGATAGATACATAAATACATAATTAGATACTAAATTTTTTAGATAAATATGCGGAATTGGTGTAACTGTAATTGTATTAACGCCACTAGATAAATTTTATACAAGTAGCTAAAATTTGTCAACGCCACCAATATCCGCTGAGAAACATAGAAGCGGTAATTATCTACCGCTTCTATGCCAGCCATGGTCCAAAATCACTTAAAATAGGCATTCGTCGTCCCATCACACCAAGCTTGTTACTTAAATTGCTGAGGGTTTTTCCGCATAGGTGAACTCATTCATAATTCAAAACATAACTTCCATCAGGTTTTAAATGCAACAAATATCAGACTAACAGAAAACAATAAGACCCTGCAAATTCACGTCCCCTTTAGCAAGACAGATCAATTGGGCCAGGGATCTGTCGTCAATCTGCTTGCAACAGATAGTCAAATTGTCCAGTGGCCGCGTATATAGATTTCGCAAAAATGAGACCTAAGGTATCCGGTCAATATTTCTGCCATTTTGGGGGTAAACCAGTTACTCGTTATCAGTTTAATTCCGTGTTCTAAAAAGCCCTTATTGCAACGGGAATTTCAAACGATGAATGTAGGAACCGACAGTATGATGACACATTATAGGCGGGTGAAGATAACGATATACCTAGAACAAATTGCAAGATTTTGTTTTTCACCTGAAATGACTTATATACATATTATGTAAGAATTTATACACAAAACCAGGTGGATCGGTTGCCATGGCCACCATGACTAATTTGCTTAAACCCAAAATGGCCGCCATGGATCCATAAAATCATCAATATCTCTAAAACGATGCACTCTAGATAAAAAGTAATGTATTAAGTGCAAATAGGAAACCAACCCCTCTGGGGTCAAAAATCATAACGTCATTGGTCTGTGACGTCACCTTGACGTTAGAACGACGCCATGACAGTTTTTACAGAATGCAGTTCCCGCTGGTGTTTATAGTTTATTTATCGAAATTATAACATGGATAGTACTAATTGTGTGATTTGTAATGGAGTGATAAAAGAGGGCAAAAAAGGGCTACTCTGGGAGACAGAGGAGCATGTACAATCAACGAGTTTGCCGTTAAGAGCAAGAGTGGAATCCGAGTGTCTGGTGGAATGACTGTTCATGAGAGGGGCAGAATTGATTTCTGTAATAGACAACAGATGGAACGTGTACAAAAACGTGTATTAGTAAACCTAAATCAATGATGTCAACGATTTTGAATCGGCGAAAAAAATTGTAGGTGATGATTTAGAAGATTTATTCTCATCATAATCATATAGTTATAAATAGTTAATATACATCTATAATCATAATAATTCTTCTTTGATCAGTTCCCTCCCTTCAACTGTTAAAATTATATCAAAATATTTTCATCGATTATCTCCCTTGAACTCTAAAAATCTATCGGTTAAGTCATTTTTTTCTGTTTATATCTTTCTACTTGTTGTCTATGCCGAGCAACAATGGCAGGTGTGGCGCCAGGCAAGATAAGTGTATGCTTACGCTTCTAGACACCTGATACCAATTTTCATTAAGAAATACTTACTCATTAACTCACTTACGATTGATATATATTGGCCAACATATTACCATCTTCATCCACTATTCTGAAAGAGAAAGGCAGGTCCAGATGGCTGGTAACAGAGAGGTGATAAGAAATTAATTTTAGATCAATTTACAGGGTTGCAATACTGTTTCAATAATTTTATTTGAAATAAGTAACATGCATTTTAAAATGATGATCGAACATGCCATAATTTATATTGTAATTAAAGTTCATGCCATATCCTTAAATGTTCATACTAAAATACCTAAACATGGAAAACCTATAGGCCTATGTACTAGAAGTCAATATCTACTCTGTAAGCCAATCGATATTTATTGGTGACAATAGACGATTGTGGAGAATGTTAAACTGTCATTAAGTTTAAAGTAAAGATTAGAGTAAATCATTAAACAGGATTAAAGCAGTCTGAGAGTCTTATCTCCAGATAACTCTCTAGTCGTTAAATCGGGGTTTCATGCAATCAAACCTTCAACTTTCCATTTTCTTGATGGACTTTAATAAAATATATAGACTCTTTTCCAGAGAACAACCTTTCAATTTAATAGACTAAGCCCCAGCTTGTCGAAGATTTAATTTATTTAGAAATTGAACTGGGGCTAAATACTAAAATGCTTTCAGTTGATCATGGTTTTAAGAAAAAAATCCTTTTTGTCAATAAATATACAAATGACAGATTATGGTTCTTTTCGGACCATACGGACTGATAAATATGTGATTTATTGTAGAGCAATCGCTTCGATTTCTGATAGTTGACCTTATTTAAATGCATACGCGGAACAAATGACAATCACAGGTATCATCTCTGGGAAAATTTGATGACTTCCAACAAGACACCTTTGACATTATTCAAGTCGACAAATAGGAATTGATAAAATGATCAGTGTCAAGAGGTTTTGCCAAAGACTAGGTAGTCAGAATCCGCTTTGTAATTATTGTTAAATATGCATCGTTCTGCCAATTGTTCATGGTTCTTTAATAAACTTTTATTCGTTTACCGACTGAAAATGTAAAACTGATGCCGTTTGCATGTCGGAAAAACTTACATGACGATGGAAAATTTTTTTAACAGCATCGTTGCCAAATTTGCTATCATCGTATAGTAGTAATGACTTATATTCCTACATCTACCAGTTAATTTTAATTCAGACTAATCTAAAATAGTGGGAAGTTTAAAAATAAAACACGAGTAAAAGTTTGACATGTTTTGGAAGATGTCCAACATGAAGGTAACGTTAGATAATTGATGCAGTATTATTGTAGTTAATTAAAGCATAGTTTATAGTTAAATGCTATCTAGACTTAAACCTGGCGGATGCTACAAATATGATTCAAGATGCCTGCAAGATGCCGATTACAGATATACTTTCTTTTACAGTACATGTTTGATAAAGTGTTCATGCAAACCTGAAATAAAGGTTTTTTCTATTTATTTTGTGAACTTGGTTTTGTAAACACGGACAAATGTGGATTGCTTGCGAATTATTTTTTTTATATTTTGATTTTGAATATTAATATTTAAATCGTTATAATAAAATAGAAATATATTCATACAGATGTAACAAACACCAATAGATATACGAAATAAATAAGAATTGAAACATCGAGTAGTTCTGACAGCATTATTTACTGCACTTGTTCTTTAAGGTTGATATCATCAGCAGTTCTTTTTCATTTTGTGATGTAGTTTCTGGTTTCAGTCAGTTACATAATCCAATTGAAAGCTGGAGTAACTTAATTTAGATTCGCGTTAGCTCTTAACTTTCACGATATAATTCTACTGACTGTACATTAACACTACATGGTGTGAAATGTTTCAAATAATTGCTCTCACCTTGTTGTAAAATATTTCGCGTTTTTTTTCTACAAGTTATTTCACCTACCAACCATGCAAAAGATGACACGGAAAAGCTTCTTGTAGTTCCGAGACTACAAGCTGTACGCGTTAAAATCCCCTCCTCAAAGTTGGATATCTTACAGTAGGCTAATGTCACTGTCCTTGTCTCATTGCACAGAATAAAATGTGCCAAATCAGTTGCAGGAACAGACCGTTTCATTTCTAAACGATAAAGAGACATACATTTGAAACTTTATTCTACTTCAGACAGTAATTGCGATCCCCTGGTTAACTCTTTCATCATGTTGCTTCCGTTACTAAGATATTGTCTAGACTACAAGGTCATGATGTTAAGTGATGTTTTGATCATGTTTATATGATACCAATGATATGCATATAACATGATTGTCATAACAATATGAAGATGGTTGTTAAGATTGTTATCAAATTCTTTGTGTCTTAAAACATTTAACTGTCAGTTCTAATTATCCGGGCCAAGATGCACTGTTTTTAGTTGCGTTTCGCAAACCATGATAATTTGGCAAGAAAAGTAGTCTTTTATGCGTCAATATTTTGACATATGTTTTGTTAACCTACATGAACACAGAGCTCCACGAGTTACGTCCCATTTTCCTTTTTATATCGCGAATAGTATTAGCATATTGTATTAATGTTTTAAATACGTATTTTATCTATCTATAGTTTCTATCTTTTCGCATTAATGAACTAATATAAATAATGTAGGTAGTGTTCCTGGCTCCAGCCACAAGTGGATGTATATAGGCATTATTGGACGACGTCGTGTTGCTTGTCTATACACAATCTAATACGAAACAGGTGCTGTCATACAACATAACAGTCAGATTATACCATGCGTTATCATGGACCAACAATTCTTTCCACTAATGACTTCCATGCCATTAAACATCACTACCAGAATCTTCAGCAAGAGAATTCTAAAAACTTCTAGAAAAACGATTTATGAGACTATGTTGTAACACAACAGAAAATGACCAAACTCAAACGAAACCAAAGCCGAGTTAATAACATTGATCTCATCTGCTCTCCAGACAATTTTTGTACCAAATTACATATTTATTTCTTAACAAATCTCATAAACAGAGCTCTTGCAATGATTTAAACTGAATTTTAAAAAAAATATATATGATATTTGATACCAAATTAACAAATGTTAAATTGGTAGATATCTGAGCTTAAAATTACATACCGTACGTAAATAATGTGTACCTTAATCAACTGTACAACCCTTCATTACAATCCCGAAACTTGGAAAGATAAGTTTCTTATACAAAAATGTCCCATTAGTTTCTAAAGTATTGTAAATAAATTCAGCTATAATATTGCAATGACGATAATGTCATGACTTGAAACACATTCTTGAGAAATAGTTACTACTGCGACCACAGTTTGAAATATGTTGACTTTAAGGCTCATTTAAGAATGGAAATTTTACGTTTATTTGTATTTGGAATGTTTCTGTCCATGGTATGGAATGAAGGTAGGACATTCTGCGATATATTTGTCAAACCAGACGGTGGTTTAATGCCACGCTTCTGTTTTTCCTGTTTATGAGGATTTTTAAAATATCTAGTTTTGTCCTAGACCTAGACTCTTGAATTTCTTCGCGTATTGTGTGTGCAAGTAGGTAAATTGCGTTTATGGCAATTTTATGGTATCAACCCCATGTAAATGTGGACTTCTGATGATTATCTTTCAACACTTCTACCTGTTTTTTTTAAACTTGTTTCATCGGAACTAAGGTTTCTAAAGTCATCATAATCGCTGAAAGTTTTCTTCCTTCCAGAAGAAGCATTACCAAGAATTCGACAAAGTACTGTGTGTCTTAACTGTAAAAAAGCCTCTACGGTAAAGATCGCCTGTGTCAAACACGAAAGAATTGGATTTGAAGGTATTTACTACGGCGGGAAGAATATCCGTTCCTGTAAGGTTGGTGCCAAGTTAGATTGTCAGATTTCGACGCCAAACTGTTGTATCCCGGATAAGAACAGTGACTGTATTGCCACGGTTGATACGAAGAGTTATTATGAGAGTTGCCTCGGGTTAGAGTCATGCTCTTTTACGTTTGCTGATGACTCTATGACTTGTTCTCAAGATTCAAGTATCACCAATCCAAACTATGCAGGAATCAGTTATTATTGTATACCAGGTACGTCTAACCTTATTGCAATCCTCATGTTTGATGTTCGCATCACATCACACAATCGGTTCAAAGCAAATAACCGACATTCCGTACAGGCTCCAAATCCCATTCCCTTAGACAGCCCCCAGAGATCAGACTTCGAGAATCTGTATCACGGCTTGTTGGCCCTTCTAAATTCCGGATTACATCAGGTGTTGTTTGTCGTAGTCGTTATCAGAATATTTAGATTTTCTCCTGTTCAATCCCATCAAATTAGATTTAAATATCGATGACACTGCTCAATGTTGATGGTGGTATTAAGAACTAAATTATACCATTAATTGATTGTCAAAATGATAATGATGATAAATGAAATTACTATACACGGAAAACAAAATTTACTTTAAAAACTATTAATTCGTTGTCATTGCCAACATTGTGCACAGCCTTTGCCAGATTAGGTCGACCAAGAAATAAGAATCGCTTACCGAAGCAATGCGGAATGAATTTCCGATACAATTTGCGGCTAGTAAGCTACTTCTTTAGTCAAATTATTTTTTCGTTTCTTTACAGAGACAACCTTCGTATATCTGGAGCAAGATTCGATATCAAATGGTAACGTTGTTTACCTGATTAACCAAGACTATCCAGTTGCTTTAGGGTCTTTCACTGCTTTCACCTGTTCTGTGGAGACTAAATGTGGTAAAACATTGTCAATCAGTGCCCTGGATATATTTCTCGGTTATGATGGCACTAGAGGACAGTGTATTCATGAACTGACAATACAGGACAATGGTAAATTCAACAAAAAGACGTGTTTTGACAACAATCAGATGAGAAGATCGAGATATTATTACTCTGAGTCGCATTTTATTATCCTCTCCTTCACTTCAATATCTAGCACAGGCCTGGGTTACGTTTGGTTGGAATTCACTGGTAGGTTTATTTTATATGATAGAACGAATAACGAAGAATGATCATAACAATAATAATAAACATTGCATATGTTCAGATGATCACAAATTTCTAAGTAGATTTAGTACGTGAATTCAAATTCGAGCTGAATTTTAATATAATAATTTTAACAACTCCTGCGTGTCAGGTTGTTCACTACCATTACAGGAAACAATATTTCCAGGTCCAATTCAGATCATCGACATAAAAGGTGTTTAGTATAATCCTTATCAGCATAATTTACACCGGATCTGACAATATGACTCAGTGTTATATACCCCACAGTGGTGTTCAACAGAACTACAGCTTATCTTAGACAAACTCAACAAAGTTTGAAATGTTATTATTCATAGTGATCCGTTGCTCTGTTTAGAGTTTGAATACAGGTACTAGTGAATCATCGGTTATTAGCAAACAACTCGTTATATATATGCATATGCAAAGTTACGGTTTCATTAACGGTTTTTGTTCTTTTGCTTCAGAATTGGATTTTAAAGAAAGTATTGAAATCATTTGTGGAAAAAATGCTAGAAGGCGACCGTCTCCATGTTGGGTTACACAAGGTATATCAAATAGGATTTTCTGACAATATTGTACTTCAAGAGATCCAAGAATATTCATTTTCCTACCAATAAAATAGTTCATGCCAACTTAATTATCTTATTACTGAAAGATGGGGTTCCTTCTTATTTCTTAGTTTAAAACTAAGCAAACTTTTTGATTAATTGGTGTTTCTAATGAATTATAATGTATCATTATAAATGTTATTGTATGTTATTAAGAGTCTTACCCAATCATAAATGGCATTGTAAGTACAGTCTGGATAAACAAAAAAGGCTTTTTGACCTTTTTGATCGGTCACTTGGAATTCTGCTGGTTATTCTATTCTAATTTAGCTAATTATGAATTAATTATGGACATTTGAGATCAACTGGTATTTTTCCAAGTCATTAGAACACCTCTACTTTCTATTCATATAAGTATAAGCATTTTCATTTTCAATTCACAAATGAAAATAAGGGAACCCATCTTTAAATGTGAAAAAGACTAGTTAAATTCTGCCAGTTTGTGCAATCTGATGACATTTGTTGAGCACTTAACATTTCGAGGTTGTACTATAATTGATAGATATTTTGTGCATTTTTTTTTAAATATAACTTGTTCATGATATTTACACAATTATTGTTCTATAATGTTATAGTTTATAGTTATCAGATCTATTTGTGATAGTTTCAGTAGCTACAAACGGTACTGACATTATGTTAATGTAGTAACGTCCTCCTCCAATAAAATGTCAACCTCACAGAATCACAGACTAAGTATTATTGTGCTAATTTCATTTCAGAAGACATTACAATAAGTACTACTATGTCCTATAACAGCACTAACGGTAGGTTTCTTTAGATTGTGATCATATTATCAGACCCATTAATCTACCAAAAAAAAAATTACATCCAGCAAGTAAACTTCAATTTTGATGCATCTACGACACAACTTCCAGACCTAATAGAATATTCATTTGAATTTCAATTAGCATTCTTCATGTGGGTCTGACCATTCATGGATTCATGGATTGCCCACCATTTGTCCATCACAGCTTTGTCAAAAATCCTTACATGAGATGAGGGTGTTTGTAATCACCCACGGATAATAAATAAATAAAGTGTATGACTGAAGGTTGAATATTTCATACCGGTGATTGTTACTGTACTGCCAAATATTTTTTTTATTCAAAATCCAAACTGTACGTGGGCGTATATTACCATGCCTGGCAATCTATCTTTCTCATTATTTTCATTCAGGTACGAATTTAAGCAAGTCCACAATGCCAGACGACGACACTCCAGTAAGGACTATAGTTTTGAGTGTGATAATAATTCTGTTGGTTGCAGTGGGCATTACTATTGGCGTCTCTTATTATAAGAAGCATAAACAGGTAAGAAAAATATTTTAAAAAACTTCTTTGTTGGGTAGCCCATTACAACTCAAACATAAGTGATCACTTAAATGATTAATATTCTCCCTACATCTAGATTCGATGGCCCTAACGATATCGTCTAAGAGGGGGAATGTATGACTTTTTTACGTCTATTGCACCAAAATATTTGTTAAAATGCACCAAATCAATTCAATTGTTTGAATATTTTCCTGGGACAAACATTTTAGACGCCCCGTGAGAGGTTTGCAACTACGCCTCCACAGATGCCGCATTTTGAATTCAACCAAGATATTGAGGTTAAAACGGTAACAGATCTGCCAAAACGGTAACAAGAAATTTGCTTAAAACGATAACAGATCTGCCAAAACGATAACACAATAATATGAATTATCATTATGATCAGTAAGCTTATACAGTGTACTATATGATATCCGACATCTTAGTATTCCGACATTCTGCGTAATCCGACATCATTTTCTGGTCCCGATTGATTTCCTTCTTATTATAGGCAAGTTTAAAAAACTCCGACACTCTGTATTCCGAATTACGACACTAATCGGTGATCCTGACACTCAGAAAAATCTGTATAATCCAACATCTACTCATCTTAATCACTTATTGTCAATTAGATAATCACTTATTTTATTGATCGGATCAAATCACATGAAAACAAAAAGTACCAATTATGACGAGAAAGTCGTGAGCTTGATTTGTCGTTATTCTAATCAATAATTGCTTTGATAATATCTAAAATATTTTCAAAACTTAGCTTGAAGGTGAGAATAAGTACTGAGTTGAGTTGTTTTCGAGTATGAGTTATTATGAATAAATTTTATTTTGTTACCGTTTTAACTAAATTTGTGTTACCGTTTTGATAGATCTGTTACCGTTTTGAATAATAAAAATTGGCACCGTTTTAACTGGATACCACCGCTGTTGTCCTCCCATTACGCAGGTGGTAGGTAGGTAGATGACAAGTTAACGTTCGCTTCCAGTTCGCAAACTAGGTAGTTGTTGGTAGTTGTAGTAGTTGGTAGTTGGATTGGTTCAAATTGAATGATTCTGTGTTGTTGATTTGGTTGTTAATTCTTCGTTAGATCTAGTCTGGTCGAATGACATGGCGGTGAAACTCGGCCCTGGATGGTGTGGCGTGAGTAACTCGATCTCCTTCATTCTTCCAAACTCGTTCTGATCATGGTATTTCTTGTTGATTGGTAGTCGAATGGTAGTCGTTGGTTTGGTTTGGTTAGATTCTCTGTTATCAGTTGGAAAACTAGGAGATATGAAAAAAAAATAAAAAAAAGAAAGTGAGAAAAGAGGGAGGACAAAAATAGACGAGGAAAAGCTTTCAACAAAAGGGGGAAAGATGTTCTCTGATGTTTCTGCAATGAAACTTGTTAAATTGATTGGATATAATTAACAGTGTTAAGAAACTTTGAGTATAAAAACTTAGCCTATCTGTTCAAGACAGATTTGGCTATAATAATGGAAGACTAGTTCCATTATTATACAAGTGGTCCGTGGGTGGAGCCAAAAAATTCTGTATGGTGAGTGGTATGCCGTTGGTTTCCAAGTACTATGTCAGTGGCTTACGAGCGGGTTTTAACTCAGTGCATTGAATGAGGACATGCGACCTTGTGGCTCCCCATTACGCCAGGCTGCTCTCTATTTGTATCCCCAGTCTCGGGAGGCTGGCGCCGCTATTATGGTCGTATTAAATTGGCGAAAACGGTTAACAACTCTATAGCCAACATTAATAATAAAAACTGATTTGAGTCTGAGCATGAGGTTTTCATTAAATATAATAATAATTCAAATGAAAAGAGTGGAATAATTCTGATCGAGATTTTGTAGTGCGAGCGCCTAAAGTACGAATGCTTATCACGAATTATAACCTACTCTGAAACGACTAAACTTATGAATTGGATAAGCAAATATATATTTCATTTTCTTTTCAGTCAAAAATTTCTCCCAATGAAAATGTAGTAGCTCTTTCAACATCATCAAACACTGGGTCTGAAAACGAGCTTTCAACTCCTTCACCTGGACGAGTACCAACCAGAAAACGACTCGAAGATGAAGATGACCAATCTGATGATCACAACGCAACTGAAAGTCCAACGAGCGATAACTGGAGGACGAGGAGCCGTAGGTTTGTTCCACCACTAGTGGACTATCCTTCCGCTCCAATTAGAAAAAGCACTGTCTTACCTGGAATAGGCGAACGAAGAAGACCAAGAAGCTACCGAGCTGCACTTCCGCAAGACATCCGAAGACCACTTCCGAAGATTGAAAGGAATATTGAATGAATTGAATAAAAACTCATCTGAGCTTTCTATGTTGCAAAGACCTTATCTGAATTTAAGTCATTCCTACATTGACAATAATGTTATTTATCTTGACAATCATGATTTTTTTTTTTGTATTCAATTATAGATTATCAGTTGCAGAAAGTAGAGCGTATAGGGTTAGGTCAGAGGGTTTTGACCTACCTATAAATGGGAAGTCGAATAATGGGACTTGCTAAAAATCGAATCAAGTCGGTCCGAGTAGTTTCATTCAATGTAAGATGGACCAAAATAATATTCGATTCCGAAGACCTAAACGACGAAGAGTGACGGTTCAGCAACAAATGACAACATAATTTAATGAAGGATTTCGAAAGTCCTTTTCGGCTATTTTAGAAAAAAACCCCACTAAAAACATATTTAATGTTCCGAAACGTCTACATCAGAAACATCCCACCATTTCATCCAATCATTATAATTTGGTATACCACATGGAATTTAAAAAAAATTAAACTACTTTTCATGATCATAAATGAAAAGAAAAAACGTAGGACATATATAATGATACAACAAACATGAGAAATCATTAGCCTGAACAACCTCATAGACCTATTCTACCGTACATCTTGATAACGAATTAAATTGAAACAGAGACTTATCAAGACAAGGCCAAAGCACAGTTATCACCTGCTGAAATTTTATAAGACTACCGTCTTTAAATATGTCCCAGGATGTTCTCATGTAGGGTGACTGTGAATGAAATCCTTGATGTAACTATGTAACTAAAAGGGGTAGAGAAAAGAGTTTAGCCTTCATGGCTTATGCGACTTCCGAGCCAACATAATGCAAGAATCAATATATTGTGAAACAACACACCACGTTGTGTGTATTGTACCGCGTTGTCGTTGATTGATAGAGTACGATACTTAGTCCGAAACATCTGCCTCTATTCCAGTCTCTGATGGATATTTTGAAATTTGTCAGCTGCAGTAGTCAGAAGAAAAAGAACCTGTTAAGTTGGGATTTTCTACACCTACAAAGATACGTTTTCTCTAATATAATATTGAATAACCTTCAAGAAGATTGCAAATTAGTCTTAGGCATCACCGTAACTCTCGTTTTGTTATTATTTAATGAATCTGTGACCTTTGAACTTTTCGCCGCGCACGCAGTTTTAAATGGCCGATGCTAGATCAGTTTCGCCCAAAAATGGAACCTGAGACATAAATGATGTAGGGAGAAAATGATGAAATGATTGAAGTACAAAGATATTCATCTTTTCAAATATATCTGGGTTTTGCAGATTCAAGGTATTTAAATAGGTTTAAAACCTTACTGCGGAGATCAGGAATGTCCTCATTTAACAGGGCTTATTATTTCTGAGGCTGGAATAGAGACAGAGGAATAGAGTCTATACGATAGGCATACAAGTCCAACATGTATACACATTCAATGGACATTCGTGTATCACTTTCAAATTACATTATTGGTTTCTTTGAATTTTTTATTTCAAAAATTTAATTCGTGCTATAGTCTTCAAATTATGTTCTATTAAATTTATAATAATCTGAATAATTCAACCATATATACAACTTTGAATGAAATTTATGATATTTCTATGAATAATAGCTGAAGTGGCGATAATGATATCGTCACCCGAGAACCAGACTGTTCTATATTCACAAAAGTGGTTTTTGAGAAAATTGAGTTCAAAGTTTCAATGTCACAAATCGTTTTAGCATTTCATTGGGAACTTAGCAAAACTTTGCATAATTGTTATTACTGGTCTAAATTTACTAAATATCATTAATTTTCTATCTAGTAAGCCCCCATTTAGTGGTAAAACATGATTTGGGTTGGAGATTGAAAAGGTTGAAAATTCTGAGAACCGGACTGTTCTATATCCATTAATTGACACCCAGAAGTTGTTTAAAGCCAATTAAATGCTCAAAGCATATATTTTCATTCATATAATGTAATAACAATCCATTAAAAAATATACTTATCTGAATTTAAGTGGAATACAAGAAGTTCTAAATGTTCAACTTGTAGCTTCTCTCCTAAATGAATTTCATTTCATTTCATTTGTATGAACTATGACCTTCAAAAAAGGATTAGAACCATTATGTTCTAAAAAAAAAAAAAAAAAAAAAGATAAATAGAACACTAAGGGCCTAATTTTGTTTTTTAAAAAAGTGGGTTTGTAGAGTTGAAAATTTTGTCTTAAATTTGGCATGGACATAGAACATGAGCTCTTATCTACATTTGATATGTTAACTCAATTTTTCACAAAAGTAGACAAAGAACAGTCTGGTTCTCAGGTAACGATATATCAATTGACGTTAAATGAAAGCTTCAAATCTCACGATGAAAAGGTCCTTGAAATATTTGGTAAGTTAAAGTTCCCTGTGTGTACGTAAACTTGACTACAGTAAGCTGTCCACAATTTATCGCGTAGTAATAGTATTTACTCCAGTTAAAAGATATACAGTTGAAAGAATAATTGATTGAAGATAAATTTTTGTCTATAACTCCACGTTACGATGCTGTGGTATGAGTGGCATGACCAATATTTAAGAAAGGTGTAATTAATAAATGTCCCGACATACCGGATTGCGACTATTTGCGATCTTACGGCGTTACCGTCACACCGGAAACGTGAAGAAAACGCCAGGAAAATTCGCTTTAATAATTCGAAATCAGTCGCCAACATTCCTCGACCTATACGACAATGTTAAATGCCCACTGCGCACCAACCACGACTGTTATTCACTATTGATGAATATAAATATGAATATATCTCAACACCATCACTATTATAGGGTTCTTTAGTACTACCAGTCCTCTACATTAAAATAGAAAGAATGTTTAAGGTCATCGAAAGCGTAGAAGTGTCGTGTAAGATACAAGCGGATCGATACAAGCGGATCGTTGTAAGGCAACGATGAAGTTGTAAATGGAAACGTTGTGGCAGCGGTTTTGCCATCCTGCTGCGACGTGTAATTCATGATTCTATTGCGTTGTCAGTATTAGACAATGGCGTTTGTAAACCCTTGGTCCATTCCATTTGCAGAAGAAGTCGAGCCGTTATCAACGCACAAGGTGGACACACCAGGTACTGACTTTCTTCATCTATATCTGTGAAAATCACGTGATATGATATTGTGATGACAGACACTCATACAATCCTTCGTGAAGTTTCTTTATTTGTTCAGTACATCGGGTGTTTCAAAAATAACGTTCCAACGTTCAACAGGTTGTATCTCAGCTGTTGGTAAACTGGTTACTTAAATTCTCAAAGATATACATCAAGATTTCGTTGTCCAACCCACACAACATAGGATGTCAAATAATGCAGTATCAAGGCAACATACCTATTTCAATGTGTTTTCATCTAAAAGTTCTACTTCCAAGAAGCGACTATCTTACCAAACCCAATTTCCTTACGAGAATCCCGAATCCATTGGATTACAGTCTAGGGATTGGCGCGGCCAGTCTTTCTTGTGAATTGTGTAGCCCCCTCCAGAAATGCGATGAGACACCTTGCCATATATGCGATGGGACCCCTTTTTGTTGGTATCTCAGGATGGAAAAACGATTGCGATTGGTAGTCATATTTTCAGGTTTGAACAGCGACATATTGAAGTATATCTGTGAGAATTTTGAAAGAGATCAGTTTACAAACAGCTGAGATACTACCCGTCGAACTTTTGGACGTGTTTTTTGGGTCACCCGATATAACAAACAAGTAGGTTTTGTCTATTCCCAATTATTCTACCGTGATAATATTTTCGGACATCATTTACTCTTGTATGAATATTTTATTTTTCTGTTTCATTGTGGTTTTTGTGCTATTATTTTATTTACAATGCACAGCAAAGATATATTTTCGACATGTAACGATATTGCGATTTAAAAAATCGCAAATGGTGGCGGACCTGTGTGACGGTGGTCTAACGCAGAACTCGGCTACAGTACATAACCTGTTAGATATAAATGCAGAAGAAGATTATTAGAAAAAAGAATTTTTAACATTATTTTAATATATGTATATTGATTTCTGTGCTATTCGATAGGGGTTTTATTTCAAATTATTAATTGATGTGGATAGTAATCCGCCATAATTTGGTGATATTGCAAACAACACTTTAAAACTGTAAGAAGATTTAAGTACTAGATACAAATGATAATTATATAGAATCATATTCTCAAAGATTAACTGATATCTTAATGATAGTGATTAAGATATCGTACGTACAAAATATCTAAACTAAAAAGACCCCAAAATGGGGTTATCGAATTTCAGTTGTTTTTCCCCCAAAATCAGTTATACTTCAAAACGTAAGGTATTAAAACAGGCACTAGTTTGGACATAATGATATTTTGGAAGAACTGTTTGTTAATTACTTTGATGCTACCAAAATGTGTTTTGGGTGAGTATTATCATTGTGGTGCCTTCTCTGCTTTTTATTGTCTTATTACCACACGGCTAATTATGGACGGTTTTTCGGCGAAACTTGGTGGATTGTTTTTGTTTTATGATCACCAAAGATGAAATATTTAGTATGTGTTATTGTTCTTATTGTACCAAATGCGTTCAGATTATTAGCAGTCTGGAGGGTACGGGAATAGACAGTATTGGATGGAATGTTTTAATTGACCAAGAGTGTATCTTTATAACATAAAAAATATTTGAGTTATTGACCATGTTCTTTGAATCATGTACTATATTCAGATTGGAATCACATATTATTTTTCTTAATTGGTGTTTGGCTGGTACCTACATTACATAGGTTTTTTCTCATTCTAATCAAACTTTGTCCCTTTTTTGCCCTTGAAAACTCATGAAGTCACAGAAATAGTAATAGAAATGTAGACATAAGGTCATGCTCGTGATGGCTGCTGTTCTGCACAACTATTCTAATTTGAATAAAGTTGTCAGTGGACGTATGTTACCTTATCTAGGATCCTGTCTAATTGTTTTGGTTTTCATTGGAAACATATTTAGGATCATCCTGATATCAGTGGCGTATTTAGATTGAGGGCCATTGGGTCATGGCAAATCCCTCCGACCTGTAAGGTCGTTTTATTTCAAAGTGGAAATTATTTTCACAATTCATCTGAAATTCGTTAGTTTCCGATAGCCTCCAATTCCCTTATCCTCTAGATTTTACGGCCTTTCGGCCATATATAGGATATTTTTAGAAAATTCATATACTTCCATTCATTCTAGGTTTATCTTTATCATGGGAAATGACGTTGATAGTATCTATAGCGTTCGGTTCACTGTTATTTGTAATTATCATCGCTGTTATAATTAGTTGTATTTATGTATGGTACAACAAAAAACAGGTCTGACATGATTTTCAAGTACTACTGTTTATGCTTACTTCACTCCTCTATAATTAATGTCGCAAACAAAGGCTTTTTTCATGTGTTTTGTTTCTTTGAATATTAGTAAATAAGATATCATTTCTACTTTTACTTTAAAGGGGGTATTTTAGCGGTTTTGTAAATTTTGTATGTGTATCGGGGACAATGATAGCATCAATTTGCGCAATTCTAATTTCCAATCTGTGATTCTAGAAATTCTACTAAAACTGTGTGTTTTATATCGTCACCTTAGAAAAAGACTTAAGTGATCCATGCAAATTTGGGACACCCTTATCTTCCACTTGCACAATTCATCCGAAATTGTGATTACCCTTTGACTTTTTTGAAAAAGAAAAACCGCAGACCTTTGATGAGAAATCTTAATTGCGATATTTAAATCCACAGGGTGTCGCCGATACACAATCATAGGCTAGAAAATCTCTTGAACTTCTTTTAATGTTCCTTGTATGTATGTATGTATGGTTTCAGGATATGGATATAATGGAAGATAACTCCACCAGGAGAAATCGACTGCGACGACTAAATTCTATACATCCTAGCAGGTATTGTTCTATTTATAAGAAATCAAGTTATCTTTCCCTAACAGTACTTAGTTGTTGCTAAGTTTCAGATTAAATACTCACATTAATTTACGAGCAGAAATATGAAAACAATCTTCGTAATGAATGCATATTCATCATATTCTTACGCGTTTGCTGTAAATATGATAAGGAACAATAAAAAACTTTTTCTTTCAACCTTTTACTTTCAGAGAGATATCAATAGCAGAGTTGGCATACCTGCATAATAAATCTAGAGCTGAATACGCCTCGAGGCAAAGGAGTAGTGCTCTACCAGGATATTTAGATTCCGAAGAATCAACTCTAAACCAAGAGTTTCGAGAAAACGTAAATAATCGCAGTACATCTCCACCACCACCGTATGATCAAAACCAAGAGGGCTCAGACAGTATTGCTTCTGTCCCATGTGAATCAGATTTAACTCCCCTCCCTACTCGTCTCAGCAGAGTAAGCGCCCCTAAAACAAGTACACGTCCGAATTTATCATCATCAGCTTCTACACGAAATAACAGTAGAAACCAACGGAGTGATACGAAAACCGAAGACAAAGATAACGATGATATCATCAGTAGAACCAAATCAAAAAAGAATCAGAAAGCAGCACATATTATAAACGTGGAAGATCCAGATAGGCTGAGACATAAAAAGATAGCCGATCAGCTAAAACATGAAAAGGAAACCGGAGAAAGACGTCGAAGGCAATCAGCAGCCGAGGCTGACTTTGGTCATGGTTATGGAAGAGAAGAGAACAAAACTGAACGAAACAAGACTCAACTATATCAAGATAACAATAATAGATATGACGAGTCAACATATCGACATAGTAGAATAACATATAGAAGCCCAACACGGGAAATTACACATAATTCACAGCTCACCGTCGAAAAATGAAGCTTTAAATCCATGTGTGTCGAGAATTATCTGTGTTTGAGAGTTAAAAAGACGAATCGTTTTTCCTTGAGACACTGCTATTTAGAAAATAAATTTCTAGTTTGAGCTATTTTTGAAGGAATGGTGTGATATTCGTACATTTATAGCACTTCTGGTGACTATTTATATATATTCAAGACTCAGATAAACTACCCAAAAATGACGAACTTGTCCCTTTTGTGCTATATTTTGTTTTCGCATACGAGGTCCGCCCTCCAGATTCTCTAGAATCTGACATGTTTCCACAAAATTCCGATAATTGACCTTGACACAATAATGATTTTTTGTACAAGAAAATAAGAAAGTTATGCCCTACTTCACTCCACATTCAAAACTATAATCTTAACTGAAATCAGTGAAATGTGAACCTGAATCTACTTGGCCAATAGGATCACTGTTCAGTGATCACTGATCCAATTCAGATGTGGTATATAAATATTAAATTTACTGAAATGTACACTGTAAATGTCGGCTTTCGAATAATCCACAAAATGGATAATATTTATTTGATAATGGTTATATCACACCGACAGTTAGAGTGGACAAGAGTGCCCCATAGGTTTTGCTCGTGTTGTTATCTATAGTATTGAAAAGTTGATTATGTATAAAATAATACACGGCCGAAGGTTTTTTACGATATTTGAAATTTCGCATCCCGAGGGGTTTTAGACATAATAAAAACCTAAGGGGAAGTGTTTTGTCTGAATTTTTACCGATGGGGACAAGTTTTTTGTAAAAGAAATTATTGATTAAATAAGGGGTGCAACTCATGCCCTATTACACGTTTGTATTATACAATGAAATTACATTAGACGCACATACAAACCCCAGACTCGAATAATAAAATAAATACATAGTTAATTTACATAACGGATAGTAGAATGAAAAATATCTTTAAATGTAACTTTTAATAAAATGGTAAGAAAAACATTGTGACATAAAATAATGTAACACGTACTAATTGACATTATGGGCGCTCACATTGCAATGACATTCTTGACACTACCAGTTTTCAATATCTATAGCAAGAAATTAAAATTGAGTGACATAGGTATTAAGTATTAAGACCACAAGTTATATGGATATACTACTTTTAGTTTTATTACATGCTACGTTTAGAAGCACATACAGGTAACGTTATCAAGTAAGGCTGGGTTTATTCTTCTAAGTACCGTTCACACCAAAAACGCGCGTTCAACACAGCGTTAAACGCCGCGTTGAACGCCGCGTTTTTCGCTCATGACGGGGATAACACACACAGCGTGAAACGCTGCGTTGAGGAATCACAAGATTACAAGATGGCGGATGCAGATGACATTGGCGATGTTTTGGCATTTTATGTCTACTTTAAGAACAGAAAAAGGACAGCGTTCGATTTGGGTCTATGATATTTTTAAAAAAAGAAAGAAGTTCGGCGAATATCATCACTTGGTTAAAAGTCTGCACAACTACGAAGACAAATTCTTGCAGTACTTCAGAATGACCTCATGGCATTTTGAGCACGTGCTTGGTCTCATGGAAGCCGATATGCAGAAGTCCGACACTAATTACCGCGAGGTAATTACAACAAGGGAACGGCTGGCCATTTGTCTAAGGTAAAGGAACTTCGGAATGTCAAAGCATAATAATTTCATTCTTTATTAACAGCTAGTCATAAGCTCTACAAATTTACTGCTTAAAGTAGGCCTAGATGATGCCTATTTGGCTTTCCACGACCCCTGTGGATATAAATCGAAATAAACGTAAATAAAAGTAGAAATTTTCTGCAGTCAACCAGAGGCCTACTAGGCCTGACGTGTCTAATATAATTACAGATGTGAAGAACACTGATTACCTACATGTATAGGCTACTGATTACATCCACAAAGAAAAGTCGAAATTTAGTGTTTACTACACAGTTTTCTGTAGTCAACAGTTGGCCTACTAGTTCTTTAGCAGGCTTCAGCTTCTCTAATATAGTTGAGTGAACGTGTATGCTGTATCAGACTCAAAGCTGTGCTGACTTGAGATGGAAGCTGGTGTCTCACTTCGAGGCATGTGGCCGTGGTCATATGCAAGTTTTTCCGATGCCATTCCATAGGCTTGACATGTCTGATTGTAGGCACTGGTGTTCGGTTGGGTGTAGCGGGACTCCTGAGTCGGTCTGAGGTGTTCACCTGGGGTTCGAGAATAGATATGCTCCATTTCTGCATCGTGATGGACGATTTTGTGGATGGAAAATCTAACCTCGGCCTGTGCCTTTGGGGGGAGCCTCCTGATGCTGGATGCCATGGAATACAGAAATAGGGAGGTAGAGTCGGAGCTGGGTTCTTCCTTCTTCGGAGCGGGAACGGGTTCCTTCTTTGCTTTAAGATAATCTACTATAGCAGCCTCCACTTCGTTCGTTCCTTCAGCCTTGGTGTATCGCTGGGGGGTTTGGGAGTTGAGGCCTGCAAGGTGAATCTTTAGATGGACCTTGTGTAGCTTTGGAGGAAGGTGCTGTTTTAGGTTGGATAGTGGAAACATCATCACTCCCACTCTCATCTTCAGACGAAGTATATCTCCGCCTCGGGGGTTGCTCTCAGGTTACCGCTTGTTCTGAAGAAAAGGAAGATCATATATAGTTTGAATATTGAGTTTGAATGTTTGAATATTGTGATAAGATTAATAAATATAGATCTTTGAGACTACTTACTGACGTTCTCCCCCAGTTGGGATCAGGAATTCGAGCAGATGGGCATATTTGTATGGCTTGACTTCTTTTGCCTTCTGTCCACTTTTGGTCTTGGATTTCTGTCGACATCGTACAAAGGCATCCCGGTTGCTCTTCCACTTTTCTTTTACTTCATTAACTGAAAAAACGGAATTTGAATTAAACAATGGTATAATTTAAACATTACGAATAAACTACCAGTAAATCTTATGTGCTTTTGTCGTTGCAGGTTCCTGTCAACTGGCGATCTCATTCAGCTATCGTGTCGGAAAATCTACAGTTTCGTCTGTTGTAGGAGAAACGTGTGATACCATTTGGAGGAGGCTGCAACCCTTGTATATGCCAAAACCCAACCGACAAGCGTGGACTGAAATAGCAACAGGATTTACACAACGTTGGCAGTTCCCAAACTGTCTAGGCGCTCTTGATGGCAAGCATGTCCTTATCACAGCACCTCCTAACTCCTAAAACATGTTCTGTCGTTTTGATGGCTCTAGTTGACTACAAGTATTGTTTGAGCGTTATTGATGTCGGTGCATACGGTTCGAATAGTGATGGGGATATTTTCAAAGCAAGTCCGCTAGGCAAGAAGCTCTTGAACGACAACCTGGACATCCCTGAAGACGAGGCCCGGCCTGAAACTGCAGAACCTATGCCTCATGTGATGATAGGAGATGAGGCATTTCCCCTCCGTACTAATCTGATGCGTCCAGTACCAGGCCTGTTGTTGGAATAGAGGGACTATAGGCCTACATGTAGGCCTTCAAATCGGTATAGGCCTATGCATGGGTCCCAATAGTCGACCAACTGCATTTTCACTTGGCATCGTAACCTTTTAGTTGACTTAATAGAATAAATAAAGACTCATATACAAAATTAGAATATTACCCTCAATTCTAATGTGTCGTCCAATTGAAGACCAAACAACTTCTTTAAAATCTATTCGTTTATAATCTGCCCTGGTTTTATCGTACAAAATTGGATTTTTCTCGATCTCGAGAATCAAAAGTTCATTCAAGTCATTGTCTCCTTGCTCAGCATCATTCTCTGCCCGCTTATGAGGTGAAGATCGCCTTTCTTTTGTCGAAGCTTTCGGCATGGCTCTGAACAGTGGCTCAAACACGTGGCGTGCCAACTTGCACTGAGCATGCACAGGGAGAAAAGACGCAGCGCAAAACGCGCTCAATAACTACAGATGTTATTTCAGGCGACAACGCGGCGTTGAACGCGCGTCATTTCTTAACGCGCGTCTCTGGTCTTAGCCTCTTATTGATTATCCATTGATCTTATTTTCGCGGCGTTGAACGCGCGTTTTTTTTTTTCGACGTCGCGTTCCGTGTGATGTTTTTGGTGTGAACGGACCTGTTAAACAGTTTTATACGCTGGGAGACGGCGTTTAATGGCGTTCTTCAGCGCATCGATTTATACTTACAACGCCAGCGAGACACGCCGTATAACACGGCGTAACATTTTCCAAAGTTCAACTGTGTCGGATCTTTTCTACAGACATGGACAACGTTGAAAACACAGATAAGAGGTTGATAATTGAGTTTGAAAAATTTAAGTGTTTGTACGTGACAACCGGGTCAGACTTTAAGGACCAGATGAAGAAAGAAAATGTCTGGCGAACCATTGGCGAGACGTTAGGTCGAGATGGTAAGTATGGATGTTGCGGGACATGTTCTATGATTATACGTATATTAATGGACACCGATGGCACTAACCTTCTCGATGCTTACCATGGTTGTCTCTCTCAGTTATGTAATTATATTGTTTATGACATGAATGCGAGCCTGCGCCATGTATCTGTGTGACCATTTCTCATTTGTTAATTACCTACTCCGATTTCCAGGATTGGTTGGTCTTGGTCAATTTGTCCTTTTATTTCATTTTTATCTTATTTTGTTATATTTTAATGTTTAATTCAGCTAGGTTCCCTTATACTCAGTTTTACTGTATTTTTCACTAAAGGGAGATAATTATGTTGAAATTCACCTTTAGATAAGTGGGCCAAGCATGGGTTGTATTTATTTCCATTTTATTATATGTTCACAATATGCTACAAGTCATTAGCTTTCATGTCGACCCGACCAGATCTAACGAAGAATCAACAACCAAACCAACAACACCGAATAATCCAATTTGATCCAATCCAACTACCAACTACTACGACTACCAACAACTACCTAGTTTGCGATATCAGCATCCGCTGGAAGCGAACGTTAACTTGTCATCTACCAACCAACCAACCTTTCATTCGAGGAACTCTGTCATTTGAATTCACAGAAACACTGAGACTCCAGAACACAGAAGTCTGAAGGAACAGGTTCCCTATGTAAGTAGAGAGGCTTACATAGTAAGAGGAGATTAGGGAGATTTTGAATGAAAGATACTAGGTGTTAGTATCCTTATCTACTGTACCGATACCCGTTTCCGCTCGGCGGGTACTCAACTTTGTTGAATAAAGTATATTTTGTTGTCAATTGTGAATTATATATGTCTCTTTGTCCTATATCTTGGTGTCTGCGGGTAACACTAAGGATATAGAGAGATATATATAATTTATAAATTTTTGGCTGGAGTGGAATTTATTCATTGAAATCCCTATGAATTTTGGTGTGAGAAGGATGACATCGATCAGGAATTTGGAAGAGGAGCTTCAAAGTTTAAAGTCATCGTATGAACAAGACATACATAGATTAGAAGAGCTTATAAGTGAAGCTGGAAGCAGACACAATACATCTTATTCATCTTCGTATTTAGAGTTCATGCAAAGACGACAGACGCAGAAACCTGACTTCGTCGACAACGAAATCACACCGCCATTATTCAGTGAATCATCTCTGAGCAATATTCAGAATGGACAGAGGAATACACCGAGACGAAGTGTTTCCTTTGAGGACACAGAAACAAATGATGATACATCAAATTCCAGACAGGCAAGTGCTTATTATACCAATGACAGAACATCATTGATTGGACAACATGGTTCAGTGCACTCCGGTTTAAGTAGCCCAGATGTAAGAGAAAATGAAACTGAAATGAACAATTTTGTTCAACCAAGACTACAGACAAAATGGACATCGACTCCCGCTGGAACGGTACCAGCCACAGCATGTTCAGATTTAGGTTCTCAGAATGCTTATGCAGTTAAAGATCGTCGACCCTATCAAGACTATGACAGAAGAATTGACCAACCACAATACAACTATGGAAGAAAACCCATTAGTATGCCAAATAAATATGATGGCTGTTCAAGTTTGGAAGATCATTTGATACAGTTTGAAGTTTCTGCTAGAATAAACAGATGGAATAATAGAGAAAAGGCAGAGTTTTTAGCTGTGAGCCTGGTAGGGCCTGCCCAAGAATTACTTGGCACAGTAAACCCCTACACATTACAGGAATATGGAGCTTTAGTAGAGGCATTAAGGCAGAGATTTTCACCACCGCAGTTGACAGAAATTTTTAAAGTAGAGTTACGTAAAAGACAACCAATGGAGACGTTGCCTGAGTTTGCTCAAGCTGTCAGACGTCTTGTGAATTTAGCTTACCCTCAAGCGACAACAGAGATGCGCGAAACCTTAGCATTAGATCATTTTATGGAGAATCTTGGAAGTGTTCAAGTGTTGGAGGCTATTGAAAGAGCCGATATGAATAGGCGGGGGAAGATTGCATTTCAGATATCTTCTACTAAGGATAGAGATGACTACAAGAGAAACTCAAAGCAAGATAGGACAAAGCAACAGAAGAATGAGAAAGCCTTGGAAGAAAAGCAGCAAGATGATTCAAACAGAGAAGAGATCAGACAATTGAAAAGGAGAAGAAATGTTAAAAGATTTAAGAATAAAGAGTAGATCTACGGATCAGCAAACTCCTTCACGACCTCCACTATCATCAATTACTTGTTGGTCTTGTATGGAGAAAGGTCATTACGCATCATCATGTCCAGTAAGATCGTCGCCAAGCACGTATCAGAAGGCGACTGTTAATAGTTTGTTATCCGAAGAAGAGACCAATGCTGATTCGATTCGAACAGTTGGATTTGCTACACCTTTTGCAAATGGACTGTATGTAGATGGTACAATGGAAGGGTTGCAGACAGAACATCTCATTGACACAGGTGCTAGTCTTACAATGATATCCATAGAATATTATAAAAAGCTTCCTTACCAGCCAGAATTGAGTCCAGTAAAAGTAAAAGTGATCCAAGCTGATGGGACACCTATGGAAATACAAGGTAAAGCAACCTTTATGGTAACAGTTGGAACAATCTCCATGGACGTGAAATGTGCGGTAGTTAAAATGGAAGCAGATGTGATTCTTGGTCTGGATTTTCTGATCGAAAATGAGATGGTGCTAGACATGTCTTGTAGAGTGCTGTATTATAAAGGATGTGAAATCCAATGTTTTATAAAGGGAGGACATGGACTTTATAGAGTTAAAGCCAAAGAGAGTGTGGTGATTAGACCTAATACTGAAGGTGTTATATGGCTGTCGTGTTTATATCCTCATGAGTGAGTTTTTCCAAGTGTCTCTCAAACCTGAAGATCGTGAAAAGACAGCATTTTCTACTCCTTTTGGTCTTTATCAGTTCAAAGTTATGCCGATGGGGCTTTCCAATAGTCCAGCTACGTTTGAAAGACTTATGGAAAGAGTGTTGTCAGGCCTTCATTGGAGAACATGTTTAATATATCTTGATGACATCATCGTGTTTGCTGCTACAGTCGAAGAGCACATCGAAAGATTAGCAGAAGTTTTGGATCGAATTATTGAGGCGGGTCTGAAGCTCAAACCCAAGAAGTGTCAATTGTTTGCCACAGAGGTTAAATATTTAGGTTATATAGTTA